TTGCCCCGTATGAGACTAGAAATACACAACACCCTTGCCTCACTAAAAATTTGAGCCTAGTTACGGCCTTGAAAACGAACAGTATTCAAGCTCAAATGTTAATAAAACAATACAAAATAGGAGCAGAGCAAACATGGCCTTCCAAAATACTAGTAATAGAGGTGGGACAAGTGCAATGGAGGACTGAGCATACCCTGCCGACCTTGTTATGATCGGGAAATAAGCAAGAAAAAATAACAACAACAACAACAAAATTCAGTGTGTATATAATGGCCTAATTACGTCAGATAGCATTTGACCTAATGATTAATAGTATTTGCGCAAGCTGACAAGGTTATTGTATCGACCATAGAGCTCACGAAATGATGACTTTAAACGAGACTGCTGATATTCTTGTTCCAGCAATTTGTTTGTCAATGATTTACGTCGTTTTAAAAATTGTTCATACATAGAACATACTCTAGTGTGTTGAATCAACTAAGAGATGTAAACTTCGTATGGAAGTGATAAAGGTATATTGCTGCTGGCGATTGAAAAGTTAGAGTCATCATGTTTATCATAAAGCTTTGTTGGTAGATTAGCGTTAATGTTTTTATGAAGTAATATATCCAAATATGAAACAGATGTGTCAGACTTTTGGTATCTTTAATTCAGGCTCACTGGGATACAGTATATGACTTTATTGCATCGACAAGAGAATTGAAATAACCATGTTTATTGACAATACGTCGTCGATATACCTAAACGCCGAGTTGAAAATCACAGCAGGTGTTTTCTTCTTTTCACGTACAAGATTTTGAATAAAATGCTCACTGGCCAATGAACTTAGTTGGTAACATAATCAATTTGTGTTTAACGAGGCCCGATCTAGTTGAAAATTACGAAAACGGAATGATAAAAAAATTTAATTCTTGGATATATACTTGTATGGTTTATGCTTAGAAAAATTAGAATGAAATTTTGTAACCTTGCCTTTATTGTAGTGAAATGGGGGCACTGTCAAGATATGGACCATTTTTCGTGTTTTTATACATAATTACATAGTAAAACTCTTCAATAAACAAAGAAATTTACAAATTTAACAAAAAATACATGATGAAATTCTTTATTTTTCACATATATCATGCAACTTTTATTCTTCTTTTAAAAAATGAAAAGAAAATTGGAGGTAGCCTTTATTGCAGTGAAAAGGGAGCATGTTAAAACACAAAATTTGGATTTATTCTATCCAACTAAGTATTTTATAGGTCGCAATAGGTTTACATAACGCCAACAAACAATTGCAATAATGTATTAGTTTCTAAAAAATAAATAATTCTTACATTATGAAATAATCGCCAATTTTTCTCTTAACACGCGACGTTGTTTTACGTGGAAAAAAGGTAGAGGGAATAAAGCCGACAAAATTGCGATTTTTACTAATATCATGTACTGTATAGAATAATAAAATATTTCGGGGGTTCGATTTAAATGATTTATAGACTTATTTTATTTTTTAAAACTGAAGATTATCCATATTATGATGCATATTTAAGTCCACAATAAAAAGAATGTGCATAAACATTTCAACATGTTCAAAGAGAAAAACTAAAATACTTTTAGTTGCAGTGTTTGTGTTTTTAAACTCACAAATTGAACTAAAACTGGATAAAATTAATGAATCTGTACTAAAAAAAAATGAACCCTCAAAATTAATTAGGTTCCAAAGTTGTTTATTAATTTAAATATTTAAAAAAAAAAAAAAAAGAAATAAAATGTCTAGAGCAACCAGGTAAGGCCAATTTGATGTCATTTTAACTGTGACGTTATTGTGTAACATAATCAATTTGTGTTTAAAATACGTATAAATAACCCTAATTGTAGACATTTCCTAGTACGGATTACAACAATTAAGGTACAAACATCAATATGTTTGTTTGTTTGATGAGAATCCCTTCTGATTATTTCTTATACTCATTTATTGAGGCACCAGCACTTGCTGTTGAAGATGTGCAAACTTTAGACCTTCAATGAAGATTTTCTTTCATCATCATAATTAATCAAAAGGTATGTATACATTTGTGGTAATGGAAACATGACTTAAGGTAGGATTCTTCTCTGGTTTCTGACTAGATGAAACATAAAAAGTATATTTGCTTATATGTCTTATATATTGAGGTGTAAGGAATTTAAAAGACCATATTTTTCTTTCCTCATCACAATTGTACAACTTTAAATAGAAATGGTAAACTGCATTTGAAAATTAGCAGGGACTATATTTTTGGCGGAATGGTGGCGTATGAAAATATCTTCTTTTCTTTCTCTCAAAACTATAATGAAACAATGAATTTAGTTAAAATTTTTACACAATTGAAGACTTGGAGAAATTTTCAAATGTAAGTTAGATTAATAATGAGAGACTAAACTTTCAAAATATATCAAATCAATATGATTTTTCAAACAAACTAGAACTTTATTAGCTTTTAAACGCTTCCTATCAAAGTGCAGATTTGAGCCAAAATTCCATAAAAAGTAATTTTTCTCTCTTAGTAAACAATCAAAACTTTTTGTTTTTGTATCATTTTGTACATTTATAAGACTACTTTATTATATGTGAAAACAGGAAAAAGTTAAATATATGAAGCATCTGAAAATAACTAATATATCCTAAAAAATTAAGAAAAACAGAGAAAATTCGGATTAGCCAATATCCAGTTAAGTTAAATTATTCATGTAAATTTGGTAATATCATGCTATAGACCCGGTATAGTAATATGTTTTTATGCAAAAAGAACAATCATTAAACTTTTGAAATAGAAGTAGGTATCACATGATTGGCAACAGTTATTTTTTATTCTTAATGTCAAGGAAAAAGATAATGACCTTGACCTCACCTTGCCTCTAATATAAAACGGTCAAATTCAATTTCACTGACACTATAACTTACTGATATTGTCTTCTTGATTCTGTGAAAATTTCATTAATTTTTAAATATTAGAAATATGAGAAGAATCCTACCTTAAGCCTGTTCTCCGTTTATGGATAGAGTTTGGTGCCATGTAGGACAAAACACCCCCTGTCGACCGATCTCGCCCGTTTTGCTTTCCTTTTCATGATCGGATAAAGGAAAAAAATCTTTTGACAATTCAGTGTCAAAATAATGGCTTGACAAATTGTAAGAAAGAAGGCAACATTATTTATATTAAGAAGGTCATTAAATCGGTCACATAATTGCTGTTGTACATTGAATCAGCTAAGGGACATGTTAAACATTGTTTCTAGATATTAAATGGATAAAGAATTGTGCCAAACCTGCTTTTGCATAAACGTCAACATACATCATGTGTTATGCTGAAAAATAGTATATAAGACATTGACTTGAAAGGTCTCTATAAAATAAAACTGATAAAATATCCTTGTTTACACTACAGATTGTGTTTGAATCCATGCTTCTCGAATTCTGTCTGGTGTCCTTTTCCCCAATAGTAATATTCAATGAGACGAAATTCTTTAAGAATTAGAGGATGGTCGAAAAAAACATTACAATATGGAAGTTGAAATTTAAAGCAATACGAGCAGCATTTTTTAGTATTAAATTTGGTGTTTAAGTTAAAATGTGTTGTTGTAACAAATCTGAATGTTATTTAAACCTTTGTGATCAATTAGACTACAATGAAGTATTAAATCTTTTTCAGAAGAAAGATATCCGAACAATGGAATGTATAGTATTATATAAGATATCAATATTGTACAGGAAGACAAAAAATGAATGTGTAATTTTGCTTCTTTTAAAGCTTGTAAATACTTCTTTTATCGCAAATACGAGCAAATGAGATTTATAAACGTTCTTTTTAACTGTCATTGAAATAGTTAATTTCAAATATTGCAACAAATATTTCCAATTAAATGGTCTTTCGTACAAATTGTCAAGAAATTATTTTCAGACTGAATTGTCAAAGTATATGTTGTGTAGTGAGGTAAACAAATGGTTTCGATTTATTTTACATCACAAAGAACACTCTTTAACAGGAAAAGAGAGAAAACTCGAATATGTACATGTATATACTAGATTTTGGAAGGTCGTCTAATGTACATTTAAGTATTTTGCACATTTAACACCTTACAGTGGAAGAAAATTAACCGCTTTTCACACATACTTTTTTGGAATTTTCATAGTTCTGCGACACTTGATCAACCATAATTACATGTAGCTAGATTCGGGATCAAGCACTACGAAATAACCATCCCCTGCCGACTAGTCACATTACCCGTGTAGCCACACCAAAGAATCCGTACACAATCCAATGTAAATATATATTAAAAGCCTAAAAATTAGTATGAACAACATCAGATAGCTTTCAACTTGTTGATGCTGGCAAGGTCATTGTATCAACCATTGAACTAGCAAAATGTTGATTTTAAACGGGACTGTTCCTGTCCATATTGCATAAACTTGCTTGTCATTTGCTCTTCTCGTTTTGTTCGCCGTACGTATAGCATACTCATGTGGATCAAAACAGCTGGGAGACAGTTACAGGTGATAATCAATTAAGGGTATATTGCTACATAACTAAGAGAAGTTGAATAGAAAAGGAGAAACCATCATGCTTATTATCATGTTTTGTCTTTTTTCTAAGTTGCTTTCTATGAATAAACTATGGCGCAAAAATCGTTTTCTTTTTTTTTTTTTTTTATTAAACATGCAGATGCATGTATAAGTGCATCAATGTCCAAGCCTGGTTACAAGGAAAATATTTTATGATTTTAATTGTTGAAATTGACCGCTAATTTTATTATTTGAATTCTTTTCATTTATTGAATATTGCAAATTTATCATATTCCGACGACCTTTACATCTTTTCAACACAAACATCTCTGAGAAACACGATATTGTCAGATATACCCACTTGTATACATCAATCTGTATTTACAATACAATTCCTTCGTTCCATAAACACACACTGTGACACACGCACGCTAACTTAACAAAATCAAACACAGCCTCGTAAGGAGAACTTGCTTCACCTTCGTGTACTGTGTCTCTCAGAACAAGACAAACAAGTTTATCAGTTTTATCCGGGATGAGGGCGGAGGGCGCAATTTACCTATGCCTATTACTTTTTATATCTAAGGAAACGGCAGTGCATGCAAATGAAGGTTTGTATGACAGATTTATGAAAATATCATTAATCATCGCTCTACATGTATACGCTATTTTTTCAAAGAATTATTTGTTGAAATATTTTAACATTTTAAAGTATATGATATGGATGCCCATTCGAACCATAATTGTTTCACTATTGATCTTTTCGCTTTGCACGCACAATTTCCTAAAATAAAATATGTGGAGATATCGAAAAGTATCCGATCTCAAAAGCCAACTCAAATAATATAAAGCAGCAGCAGAGCAAACACATACCTCTAACACATCATAGGTGGGATCAAATGCAAAGGAGGAGTGAGCATCCCCCTGTCGACCGGTCACGCCCGCCGTGAACTCCCTCTCCTGGTCAGGAAATAACGAAAAAAATCCATCGAAAATTCGGTTTGTAAATGAAGGCCGAACAATTATTATGAAAAACGTCAGTCAGCATATATATTTGATTTATTATAAGATTGTATTTGCTGACAAGGTTATTGTATTAACCATAGATCTTACCAAATGATGACTTCAATCGATATACTTCAGTGTTGATATTCTTTTTTCCATCAACTTGTCTGTCAAAAACTGACTTTGTTACATGTATAAAGATTGTTTGCATGTAAAGCATGTTCTTGTGTAGCGAATCAGCTGAGAGGCATAAACTCCATATGCAAGTGAAAATGTATATTGTTGCATGATAAGGAAAGTTGACGATTGAAAAGTCAAAGCAATTACGTTAATCACAAAGCTTTGCTGTTATTTTACCGTCAATTTCTTTTTCAAGTTAAATATCCAAACATGAAACAAATGTGTCAGATCCAAATGAAGCTCAAAGCAATTGTCTCCTTCTTCTCGTGTATATGTTTTGAAGAAATTCTTCAATCTTATGAGCGTACAAAATGCAAATATAAATCCAGGTTGGTTTCTGCACGTTACCGATTTCCACTGGGACTATACATACGGCAAGCAGGATTGGTCGTGTAATGATGACGTCAACAATCATGGTCTGTATGGTGATTACTGGTGCGACTCTCCGATGACGCTTATACGATCCGCTGTGGAGGCAATGAAAAATGCTACTGAAGGCAGACAAGCAGATTTTATACTCTGGACAGGGTATAAATGTTAACTTTCGCACATTAATATCAATTTATTATCGTGCAGACATAATTATGTTTACATGTACCATAAAATCATTACACTTAAATATTTGAAGATAAAAAAAACACTATATTAAATTTAAAGCGTAGGTAGAATATTTTGTTTCGCACCTTCTTTGTTTCCTTTTAAAAACCTTTTTATGATAACTTTAACCCACCAACATTTTTCCAGCGACAGCGTCTTGCATGTTGAAGATGACAAAGTAAATTTAGACATCCATGACCAGATTCTTGGAAACCTGACAGATTTACTGAAGAACTACTTTCCAGCAGTTCCGGTATATGCCACATATGGTAACCATGACTACTTTCCAAACAACCAATTTCCGCCACATAACAACGAACTCTATAATCGGACGTTAGAACAGTGGAGAAATTGGATCAATGACGTACAACAAGAGGATAATTTCAGAAAAGGTAAACTGCTTTATGCTCATTATGTATGATTTGTATGTTAAATAAATGACTTCAGTAAATCATTGAAGTGATGGCCATTGACGATATTTGTCAATTGAATCTAAAATGTTGTGAAGATGTTTTTATTTCAGGGATTTTAAATCTTAAGTTCTTGATAATAGTAAATTCTGCATTGAAGAATGGTTTCAGGTGCATACTATACAGTGAAGGCCTCTCCTGGATTAAGGATCCTGGCCCTGAACACCAATTTATATTACACATCTGACAAAGTCACGCCTGGTATTCCTGATCCTGCTGATCAGTTTGCCTGGATGGAAGAAGTACTAAATATCTCTCGAGCAAACAATGAAAAGGTAAATCTTGAAGGCCATAGTTAAAGAATTACATGTAAGCAATGTAGCCTTTTATTTAACATAATCTAGAAATAATCTGAAAGTGCACTTTAAAATGATGAGGATTATATTTTGACAGCAATTAGATTTTGAACTGTTCATTTAAAAAAAAAATTCTAGAAAATATTCGGCTTTTGTCTGATTTTTAAAATAAAAGTTTTAAGATAAAATTATACAAATGAATTAAATGTAATTCAGTAACATTTTTGTATTTTAAAAAAAACTGTTCTAAACCAAATGAATACATGTACAATAACCTTCATAAATCAGGTATTAGTCACGGGACATGTACCCCCAGGAATGGCGCCACCTCTTGGAACGCGATGGATGTATGAGGATTTTCATAAAAAGTTTAATAATATCCTGTTTAAATACAGTGATGTTATCACAGGTCTACACTTCGGTCATGAACATAATGATAATTTACGGGTATTTTACGACGAGAAAGGTAAATATTGTTGCATTACTGTTGCATGTGTAAGTGGGCAATTGTTATTTATAGCTGCATTTTTCCTCTTATTGTCTTCCATAAAAAAAGTCTCAATACTCAGTATTCGCATTTGCAATTTTCTTCAGATAAGTGTAATTAAAAAAAGTTTAATTCCCATAATGATTCACACAGATACTTAAATGTTAATATATAGGTTAGTTAACCGCTTTCCCCCCCCCCCCTAAAAGACCTGTTGTCATCAATTTCGTTTATATTTTAAATAAATTTCAGATAAACCTGTACTTTCCCTTTTTATGGCCCCTTCCGTTACACCATGGAGGTTCAAGATTCCAGGAGTTACAGGAAAAGCTCACAACCCTGGATTTCGCATGATTAAATACGACCAATCAACAGGCAGACATTTAGATTTGATTCAGTACTATATGGATCTTCCGGAAAGCAATCGTCTGCAAAATCCCGTATGGAAAACGGAATACACAGCCACAACAGATATGTCCATTCCAGATATTACTCCTGGTTCTATCGACGGTTTCATCAAACGCATGGCAGATCCGGATGGAGAGGAATTTAAGAAGTTTTATAGGTGGCGCTTTTTGAGTGCGGATCACTCTTCTGTTGGCAAGTGTGATCGATCTTGTCACGCAGTCATACACTGTAATTTCGTACACTCATCCAAGTCGAAGTACGATTTGTGTGTCGCGGGACTGACGAGTAGTGGAAATCGCGTTGTCAAAGTCGTCAGCTTTCTTAACATTTTATGCATAATCCTTAGTTATATTTCAATCTGATAAAATATGCAGCATTCTACTAGGTATTATAATATCAATTTTATGTATCCATTATTTGAAACAAAATTAGAAAAAGGTATATTTTTAGCTATTAGACAGCGTACGAATGAATGTGAAATTTAACAATTTGCTACATGTAGTAATGCAATGAACAGTACAAGTAAACGTTTAGTTAAAAAATAAGCGGACCTTTTTTTAATTTCCATTTTTTTTAAAAAAGTTGACATTTTAAGGACAATCAGAAGTAAAAAAAATGTATTCACTATTTGAATTTTATTTTATGTCATTATATACGTTTACAGCCGAAGTCATACAAAAGTTTTTTTGATGAGAGAAATCCTCTAACTTCCCGAGGAATACAGTAGATTTAATCAAAACTTTTCAGAATTTAGAAATTATAAACTATTGAATAATTCCACTTACTCTTACAAAAACGTTTGATTCTTGGTTTCATTAACGAAACTCCAGTGTTCAGAAGTTCAATTTATTGATATAAACAGATTACAGGTTAAGGGTGAAACGTTTACTGAATTTTGTAAACGTTTAAACGGATAGCAGTAAACGAAACGGTACCGTTTAAACGGGAGATATTCTATGTTGGATTTTTATGGCTACTACTCATGAAAATCGAATTTAATAATCAATTCTTTCACTTTAATATAAGTTTGAGTTGTTATTACAAATTTATTTTGGTCTTTATGATTTAAACGTAAGAATTTGAGACGCATTAAACTCATTCACTTTCTACCTCGTCACCCAACTGTTTGGTTTGTTTGGCTACCGCACGTAGAAAAAATAGTTGTATAGATGGTTCTTTTAATCTCGAAAAAAGTAAAACAAGAGACTGTAGAAACTTTTCAAAACTTTGAAAAATTAGTATATTTAAATCAAAATAAGTTTTATACAGGTATCGGGTTTTAGATATTTCATTCAATATGTTTCCGGTTTAGATTGATGCTTATCAAATGGTCAAAGACGGTGTTTCTTTTGCAAATTATGAAATAAAACAATTTGTTTGTGTTAAACATTATTTCTGACAGACATTGATAATGACCTTCGTGTAAACGTTTACTCAAACTGTAAACGTTTAGAGCATATAATCGAAACGTCGCCGTTTACACGTGTAATCGTTTCGCCCTTATTACAGGTAGAGTGAAACTGCATTTATGAAAAAAAGTAAAACAGGTACATCAAAGATCTATTCATACATATGATACATTTTAATCTGATAAGTCATAATTGTTTAACGTACAAAAATCAATTGCTGTCGTCAAATATAACATGAAAAATTCATTAATAGAATTTTACAGGTAATGGGTTTGTTTGGACCCAATGCCGTAGAATCCAAGTCATTTTTGTATGTTAGTAATATATACCTATATATCCCCGCGTCTTTGGAAATGTAAAGAAAAAACATCAAATCAATAATATTTGATGTAAAGAAAACCCGGTCAAATCCTTTTCGTATATCCTTAATTAAAATTATCCATCGTCTCAAAGAATTTCAATTTTATTCTCCGCTGTGTTCATGTTGAAATTGTATTGACTCTAAATTTGATATCAGCATGGAGCAGTGATATGAGTAGATTTATTGTGCAAAAGGAAGTTTTCTAAAGGTCCAAGTAGCATTACTTGTACTTTGAAAACACTTAATAACAAACCTGTAAAATAACTATGAAATGTATTGGTTTGATAATTAACATTATCTTATTCAATGGCATTTCGTTGGTTCACTGTTTGGAATATTTATATTCCATTTTTGATTATCTTGGTGATGTACCCGTGCCTATTACTGTTGAGCGATATAATGTTGGAACTAAAATGAGATGCTTTTCAATTTGTTTGCAAACCAACAGTTGTTATTTATTTGATTACTGTAGAAACCATCATTCAAAAACGTGTTACTTGTATGATAAAAATACAACTACCAGTAACACATTCAATGGAGGACCTTGCAGAAGATACAAACTAGTAAGTACATATTTCAAATTGATAAATTTAAGATTTTAGTAGTTTAAAAATACGGAATTGAATTCAATTACAGTGTAGGCCGCCCCCGTAGCGCAGTGGTTAGATCGTCTGCTCTAGGGTTGCGAAGTAAGGTGCTGATCCTTACGTCGCAGGTTCGAATCCCACCGTGAGACGTGGAGACCGGTCCTTCGGATGAGACCGTATAAACCGAGGTCCCGTGAAAAAGATTCCTCACTGCTCAATGGCCGTAAGTGCCCAGTATAGGACAAAATTTGCAGCTCTCCACTGGCAAGTGATGGCGTCTCCAAATGAATGAAAAATTCTCAATAGGGACGTTAAGCATCATACAATCAATCAATTACTGTGTACAGAGACAAAAATCCCAAAAATCCCCGTTGATTCTGAAGTATTTGGTCTTTGATCCAGCCACGAATATTATAATTGGTCGCGACAATTTTATATATGCAATTTTCAGTTTGAGATCTACAATCAGCGACTATTGAATTTACCGGGTGGCAGTATATACAAAATTTACAAAATGGCAACTACTTTTGAATTCACTGCCATCCGGTAAATTCAAAAATTTACATGACATCATCCTCAGAGACAGCTATCTAGTAATTTTTACTCGATTTCTGATTCATGATGGTACTGCCTCATCAGATACTATTTTTTATATTTTTTCTGTGTTGCTCTTATAGAGACAACTTTGTGAGAAAGGATTTACAAATCCTTGTAGATGCCCTGATAATGTTGGCGAAGAGAGATGCAGATACAGATATGGTAAGGTTCTACCTTGACAAGACTTTGACGTCAGTAAAATCTATATTCACCATAGCAGTATTTAAAAATGCTTCTGTTTTCAGATTGCGACGGAAGGCTTGTGCCTTTGAACAAACCTTCATACACATATTCCAGGACGTTTTCGGACGGAAATCCACGTGACATTCTCTGTAACATGACCACAGATAATGGAGGATGGATAGTTTGTATAGATTTCAGATTAACGTTTTTCATACTAATTGTTAGCCCTTTATTTATACACTGAATTGACAGCGTATTTTTCCGTTATTTCCTGATCATGACAAAGAGCACATGGCGGGTGTGACCGGTCGGCAGAGGATGCTCACTCCTTTATGCCACTTGATCCCACCTCTGATGTTTTGGAGGTCCGCATTTGCTCTGCTCCTTTTTTTGTATCGTTTTGTGGACTTTTGATCTTGAATATTGTTCGTTATCTCCATATGTTTCATTCTAATTAACAATATAATTAAGCTAATTAACAAATGTACAATGTTAAAGAAAATACAATCTAGACATTTACTACATGATGTATCACCTTGTTTTTATCACACTGAATGTTTTGACATTTTTTAACAATTTATATTTAGTACACTTATTCAACATGTTTGCAATAAGCTGTATATTTCCAATTTTGCCAGTTAATGTTCCGCGGTCTTATCACCTTGTTTTTAATTGAAGGTCTTTCAACGTCGTTTTGATGGAAGTACCGACTTTTATAGGAATTGGACGGAATATGCGTTGGGTTTTGGTAATATAACCAGTGAATTCTATTTAGGTAAACGTAACACGATTTGTTTTAGAATTTTTTCGGTAAAATATTCAGTGGAAGTTATAAATTGAATATTGAATGCCAAAAATATATATTGTTGACTCTAATGATAATTCTCCCCGCAAAATTTATTCCTCCATATTTTAATAATCTTCATAAAATGATTTTTCAACTTTTCAGTAAGATATTTTTAAAAAGCTTCATTAAATGGTTTTTTAATTTTCAGAAAGATTTCATTTTTTTTAAAAAGCAAACTGATAATCCATTACAATAGATTAACTATCATTCCTTTTTGAAAATGTCAAGTTAAAAGGCTATCTGATTAAAATCAGACAGAAATACGCTCCCGAAATCCTGATGTCGCTTTTTATTATATACCTAATGTGTATCACTCAATTTTACTGTTGATTTTACGCTATCACGTGAATGTTGTTGGATCATTACACTGTGGTTTTTCTGAATCAATATCACCACTCTCTGTAACTGATGACAATTATAGTACACAAAAACATGACGTTATTTTCTTGCGCGTCAAAAAGGCCATTGTTTTTATGCTTTGTTTTATGGACAAAAGTTATACAATTGATCTTTTCAGTTTTATTTCGCTATATTTTGCTAGTTATAAGGGGGTATATAATAAATTTATCATTATAACAGTAACTTGATCCGAAGAGCCGTATCTGATTAAAATCAGATCAAACTCGACGCTTCGCGTCTCGTTAGATCTGATGAAATCCTGATGTCGCTTTGTGTATCGACATCAGAATTTTGGGGCGTAACAAAGATCTGATTTTAATCAGATTGGTAAAAAGCTCATTTCTGTCAAATTTTATCTTGGATAAGTATCCTGATATAGTGTTTGCAATTTTATCATAATTTGGATTTCCTTGGGAAAAGTTATTTAATGATAAAGCTATTTTTAAGGACAAAATATTTACAAACATTCAAAGAGATAACTGTTTTAGAGGATTGCAAAGATCATGAAATTGAATGACTTCTTCTTAATACGTTAACATTCCATTGTTCAGTGTTTGAAAATTTATGTACAATATAAAATGCAATAATATATTTTTGTCTATTAGGAAATCAGATCATACATGAGATTGTAAGAGAGGGGATTTTTGAACTCAGAATTGAATTAGAAGACAAAGCAGGAGAATTGAGATATGCCAAATACGGACAATTTTCTATCGATGGTCCAGACTCTTTGTATACATTGCATGTGACTGGTTACAGTGGAAATGCTGGTAGGTTTCTCATCAAAAGCTAAAAACCATAACACATAACTTTTTATTTGGAATAACAACTGATTTTTTGACAAAGAATTTTTTTTTTTAATTTTGAATATTGATTTAATAAATGCAGTCAGCTATGTTGATAATTTGTTTGTAAATTTAATGTTGTAAACAGCGAATGTGTCTTCCTACGACCATGTTTCAAAATCTTTTAAGCTATTTTGTGCAAAAGAATATAACACAAACAGAATTTGCATTAAATTTAATGTGTTTAGATATTTTGGTGAAACATGTACACATGCATTTGTTATCAATGATCAAGCAAGCATCTGCAAGCATACGGTATAAACTATAGTATATACAGGCCAAAGAGGAATTTTTAGCTTTATTAGCCATGTTTTTCGTCAATTCAATTAAAAATGTAGAATTTTGTTTGTTTTTTTAATTTAATCATTTAAAATTATCTAACAATATCTTATTAAGATTTTTGAAACAGACATAATGGAAATGAAATGAAAATTTTCATGCGTTCAGATGTAATAATTAAACGCAATAGAACTGGCCTGAATGGCTTATATACCGGGGTATGTTATATAAATGTAAAATATAAAATCTCTATTGGATTCATTATCAAAATGAATGAAAAATAAATAAACATTATGATACACAAACTTTATTGACATTGTTTAAGTAATTTCTGTCTAGTTTGTTGGGTATATGCCAAGGCATCAGTGATAGTTGGAAACGTGGAATAATTTGCATACCGGCCTCAGCATATATAAATACATGAAACTGTATATATACATTGCATCATTGCACTTTCTTACGTAAAAGTGAAATAACCTATAGGAAAAAAACGTTATTAGAAAGTTTCCTCAATACTCCTTCCAAGGAGTTTCGAACAGTAAGTACGTGTACTTCAATATTCAATCTATCATTCTTTTTTATATATTTTATATATATTGAAGGCAACAGCCTGAAATACCACAATGGTCGAAACTTTACAACATTTGACATGGATAATGATATCTGGCCTGAAAACTGTGCTGTGCATTGCCATGGAGCTTGGTGGTATGGAGGCTGTCAACAAAGCAACCTGAATGGTGACCATGGAAACGATGAGCACGCGAAAGGAATAAACTGGTTTCATTGGCATGGCTGGTATTACTCAATGAACTCCACGCAAATGATGTTCAGAGTAACCAAACATTAACTGCAGAATCTCTGTTTGAAATTAATGCAGTATGCATGTGCGATGTAAAAGATAAGATGGACAGCACTTTCAAACATGAAATGTTCTTTTCTCGAGTTCTTGAAAATTCTTACACAACTTGAGATTTTTATGAAACCAATAAAAACCAGACAGGTCGGCTCCCTTTCACTTTATTGTAAAAGTGAACATGTCCTCTTTCTATAATACATGACTATAAAAATGTTCTTGTCGCCTTTTGCCCTATAATATTGGCTATAGAGCTGGTACAATCTTATTTATTAGATTTTAACTTACCTTAGCTCAAAGATAATAAGCACGTTTAATCATCCGTTGTCCGTCATATGCCCGTGTATTTATCTGTGAGTCTGTTAGTCAGTATGTATAAATTCAGACGTATCATGAGATGCCATTGAGGTGCAAATACACCCTGTTAATAACTAACACAGCTGTGTGCGCCTTGTCATGATCATGAGAAAGGAGATTTCCCAAACGACTTTGTCTAAATAATGGCCTAATAATAGTATAAAAACGTCAGTGAGCTTTCGACTCAGTAAAAAAAATTAGATTTGCTGCATCGTATCGATTGAAAAAATTAACCATAGAATGACTTCAAATGAGACTATTAATATTTTTGTTTTATAAACTTGTTTGTCAATATCTTGTCTTAACTTTAAAAAAATGTACTTGTAATCCAGTGTTTTGCATTATGAATCACCTGGGAGATTTATGTCCTATGTACAGGCAGTAGGGGTATATTGCTATATAAGAAGAAGAATTGATGTCTTGACTCTTAAACTAACATAACTGCCTTAAGTGAAGAAATAATTTCCATTTATTATAATACCAACTTCGGTTTTTGGTTGAATTCTGATTGGTAAAATTTTATTGTAAAAACGTCCTTTGTAAGTAAAAAATTCATTACAATATATATTTTGGTAAAGGTTCTCTTTAAAGCTAATAAACTTATGTCCAAATACTATATCTCACTTCTATTCTCAATGACCGTGTACTGTAGGACAGTCATCGGCATCGAAAGCAAGTGTTTCTGGACTTGCTTTGATAGCCGAGCAGTCTATCGGGTGTAGCGCGCTGTTCATGTACTGATTCAACCCTGGGTTACATGTAGGGCGGAAATGGGTATCCAAATGAAAGTTAATTTCTTTGTGGTTTATATAATTATATGGATGTTAATGAAAATACGTATACATTTAATGTGATACCTCTCACCGAGTCATGTTATTATTTCATGAAGCATTTCATGAAAAAAAAATGTTGTACGTTATAAGTATCCGATGATTCTCTCCTAAACATTAGAAATGAAATACTAGTATATCATACTTATAACTTTACATTCTAAACTATTCATTTTTTATTCAAATTATAGAGAAATTGGCAAACTATTTAGGGTTTATTTCCTAAAGTAATGTCGTTCTGAGTCCAATTCCAGGGAATAAATGTAAAAGTTCAAGAATCAAAATAATTTCTTTTATTAAAAACAAATGTCTCTCCTGCTTGAAACTAAATATCAATTTAAACTCCAGCCTGAAAAACACGTAGACTGCCACTTGTCACTTAAAATAATACCTTGGGGATTATAATCAGGATGTGTTCTTTTCATCACGACCCATTTACATCTACCGAAATAATCACCAATCCAGTGGCAGGATCGTCATCAGCAGTTGATCGTGAATGAGACCTCCCCTTCACAACTCCGTTGAGAAGAAGTTCAAGAGGAATATTACCATGATACGTGCATGTTGTCCATGTGAACACATAGTAACCTTCAGACAACTCGATATGTTCCACTAAACTTGTCATAAGCGGCGTGTGTGTCTTCTAGAACTTGATCGTATGCAAGCTCATGAACACGACCAAGGTTTTCTACATTGTTGGAAAAACAGACATGGAAGGCAACGGTTGAAGGGACACTTATTTCTGAAAAAGTAAGGTCCGGATCCTTTTAAACTTTCGAACTATCAATTGTATAATTATAAGAATAAAATATATGGGGATAACGAACAGAATTCAAGTTCAAAGGTCCATTAAACAATACAAAATTGGAATATAGCAAACAAGGACCCCCAAAACATAAAGTGTTGGATTAAGTGCCATTAAGGAGTGAATACAGTGTGTAAATAATGGCCTAACAAGTGTGAAAAACGTCAAACGGCTCACTAAATGATATCTTCGCCTCCCATATGATTATAATGGCAAAGTCCATGTTTTGCTCTTGGAGTCCTGAAATAAGTGTCAGATCAAAAAGAATTTTTCACTCATATAGAGACGCCGTGTCCCGGCAGGCGTTGGGGCAATAAAGATTCCTCATTGCCAAATGGCCCTAGGTGCAGAGAAAGATCTAAGTTTAAAGGCATTAACCGGTTTGTGGGGACATTTCTATAATATGATTGAAAAATTCTCGAATGGTGCGTGAAACAACATATAATCAATCGACCAATCTTCACAGTTTTGTATTGTTTATAGATATTTTGAGATCAGTCACTGTTAGTTATCTTCATACTTTTTCGTCGAGTAAATTTGATCAAAAACTCACAGATGGACTTTTGCAAGAAGCACTGTCTTTGGTAGTTGATGGTTTATTTTGACATTTAAAAACCTTTATACATGCATGATGTACGGAGGTGCAAAATTGATAATGGGTAAGAAAACTCTTTCTTGTGGTCATAAGTATATGGTGTTAACGTATATGTGAAGGCCGGGAGTTAAGGGCAGGGTGGTTGTTGTTTTCTTCAAGGACAACTTTTTGTGCATTGAGATAACCAGTTATTTTTGTTGAATTAAATGCTGAGGTAAACATTTACATGTATAACGTAAAAGAGCTTCCATACATTGTCCTAATGTAAAAGAAAGCCGTCAATTATAAAAGTCAGTGCTTCTTGCAAAAGTCCAATAAACAGATTTTTTTCGTAAAACAAACGGTAGTCTAACTCCATCATACTTTAAGTTTGCTTTGAAATAAGTTTAATTATTTATCATAAATCCAGTAAACGTCAGATTCATTTAAAGACATAATGACAGTCTTATATCTTGCTCTATCTGACACTTACCTACATGGGTTTTCTCTTGCCACTTTGCAAGGCTTAAGATATGTTTGTCAATAGTCGACTCATTCTGGTCAAGAACCAATCTTTCCAAAGTTAAGATTCGAGATTCGAGTTTGATTTTTTCTACAATGAATTAGATACATACAGGTAAGTTTGTCTTTAATGAAATAAGTGATAATACATTCGTTTAATTAAAAACATACGGCGGATTAAGCACTTAAGGTAGTATGTATAATACCTTCATGTTATGACGTATTTCCGTTTAAAGTATAATTGTTATGGTTTGGTGAGTGTTTTTTATCAGTTCAAAATTTGTAGATACCCTTTTTAAAAAATCTATGGTATCCAGTAACATTTTGTTAACCAATTACTGAATTTATATCACTGATCAAAATCTTTTTTATTGAAACTATACGGTGCTCTCAACCGATCAAAATTTAAAGTTACATACTAAGTCAAAATCATGTGTTTCTTTTAAGATAATTGTATCACAAAACAAAAGATTTATCAGAAATATGAACATGGCCAGGTGAATTGCACTGTAAAGCAAGAAAAGAACTGCAAAATGTAAGTGCCAGTGTAATGACATAAAGTGACCCGGGTGTAGATGTAAAAGACCATGTAAGATGAACTTTTGTTCATTTGTTAAATATTTGTTTCATTGCAATCAAACACATCTTTGTGAGGAAGATCAACTTAATTCCAAGACTTTTCATTCATGAACAATTAATAACTGAAATATATACTTTCGCGAGTACTTTAAATATGTAGAGGCTAATAAAATCACATCCCAATAGAAAAGCGGATACCGGTAGGGGACATGTATGCAGGTTTAGAAACCTATAATTTTCTAAAACTTATATCTTCAAGAACTGAACGAAATTTGCATGTGTCACGCAAAAATTCTACTTTTGTCAATTTTCACCTTTTTCCGACATTGTGGTCTCTTTAGTAAAAATATAGCGTCAAATCAAAATATTTCATCGCCTATTTAAAGTTTAATACTTCAGATGTGATATTTAAGTGAAAAATGGTCACACAATAATCTATCAATTTGTGCATATCAATTTGTAGTTTGTTTTTCTTTAATGAATATTAATCAAACTATTTTAACAAAAAAAAAAAAGATTATTATAATATTTATCATCCTGATTATTATGGTAAATATGAAACGTGTGGATAAAGCATGACACAATAATATTTGAATACAAAAACAACTTAAATAAAATTTAAATTGTGCTAATTATAGTTTTAAACAAATTGACAATGAATACCACTACCGGCTCCTGTTTGCCAAAATGGATATAACTTCTGATTTTGTCTTACCATCTGTCAATTTGGCGATAAGATTCAGTTGATTTTGTAGCTGGTTATGATTGTCCTGCAGACGCCTAGTTTGCTGCTTGACGACTTCTTTCAATTCCAAAAGTTCTTTTCTCCAAGGTTCTTCCGTTAAAGCGGTTCCTAAAAAATAAAAAAAAAACAAGAGCACACGATGAAATGACCATTTTGTCGGAGATCCTTATCTAAATAGGAGATTTATTCTCTTATCACTTTTAATAACTCAGGAATACTTTCTAGGCCAGTTCACATTTTGTGCAATGTAATTTTTAAGCGGTTGTAATAAATTTTGTTTGTTTTTTTCCTTTCTTTCTTTTTTTGTCTAGCAAAAAAGTTTATTCTTCCTTGTCAAAATACCTGCGACAGATTCAACTTTAGCGTACATAAACAATGCAATTCAAAGAATGCGTTTTACCTGCAACGGCAAAATAAAGGATAAGATTGTTCTTAGCTTCATTTTATCTTTCACAAATAATTGAAAAGAGAGTCTTTAATTCTATGAAGCTAAATTTGTTCTTGGAATTAAATGGAATGAAGTGGAATGTCAAAGACCATGTCCAGATTGAAATGTATTGCAGGTCAAATACAATTATATAGACAGGATACTTTTCCATAAAAAAAATCATGTACATTTCAAATCTGGACATAATTGTATCTTTGATAGGAGTATAAGTTTTGAAATTTAAAAGATTTGTGAAAGTCTAAAAACAAATTTTGGTTAGCAATTGCAACATTCACTAATGTTAAAATATTAATGTTTTCAGATTAAAAGCCATCGACTCACAGAAGAGTTTTTATTTTCAGCCAATGTCTTTGGATTAGAAGAGGTAATGGATTCGACGTCTCGATCTGTCGATTGATTATGATCCACCTCCGAAAGTATGGTAGAAGCATATACTAAGTAATCACTTTCTCCAATATCTTCTGGATATGAATGCCCAATCAGAATGTGATGCAAGCTTGATTTTCTTTTTCGATACAGCAAAATAGTTATGCAAATACTGAGTACATCCTTAATATGAAGACAAACTGTCCATAATTCGTCCAAAATTTTCCATGTAAATTTTTTTTGGATCAAATCTGTTCTTAGATGATTGGAAGCTTTTGATAGCTTATATAATTGTAGTTTGTTTGGAAAATCATATTCATTTGATATATTTCAAAACATTAGTCCCTTAATAATAATTTAATTTAATTTTTAAAATTTCTTCGTCTTTGATTGTGTCAAAAAATTATAACTAAATTCATTGTTCTATAATAATTTGGAGAGGCAGAAAAGAAGAATGATATATCTGCCAAAAATATAGTCTCTGCTAGATTTAAAACTCAGTATACCATTTCTATTTAAAATTGTACAGTGGAGATGAAAAAAGAAAAATATGATGCTTTACATATCTGAAATTTCAATATATGAACATATAAGCAGATATACTTTGAACATTTCAACCAGTCAGACTGAAACATATGGAGATAACGAAACAATATTCAAGAACGAAAGTCCAAAAACAATACAAAGTAGGAACAATGCAAAAGAGGGACCTCCAAAACATCAGAGGTGGGATCAGTTGCCATAGAAGAGTGAGCATCCCCTGCCGACCGGTCACACCCGCCGTCTGCTCCTTGTCATGTTCGGAAATATAACAGAAAAACGTCAGTCAGCATTTGACTCAATGATAAAATGTATTTTCTGACAAGGTCATTGTATCGATCACACAGGTGCTTGTGGTCAAGCATCTTCTTCCCGGGTCCAAAAAAATTTTTAATCATCTTTTTTCATAAATTTATCTTTTAGTACACATCTCCATTGTACTCCATATGAAAAATCCGAAGACATAATGTAAAATTAACGTTTTATTTTAAAAAATTACACTCGCGGTATTACATGTAGGTAAGTCACTACCATTTGTTAAGACTGGACCCCTCTTGTATAAATATGTACGTGTACCGAAACAAGATATCAGGGCACATTTCAGTGATATGTAGTATGTATTTGATATTTTAGACCCAGTATCCGAGATGGGTCCAGTGTTATTAAGTGGAAGAAACTTACCTTTATAATACCAGGTGTATGATTTTTTTGATTTAACGTTAAATCTACGTTGTATTTTGGATTTTTCATGTGGAATACAATGCAGTGTGTACTTAGAGATAAATTTCTGATAAAAGATTAATAAAAATATCTTTGGAACCGGGTGTATATTCGGAGGTGGAGAGGGTGGAGAAGGGGTTTCCTGTCAACAAGCACCTGTGATCAACCATAGAACTTACGAAATGGTGATTTTAAACGAGATTAACAAAGAACCCCCCATAAATTTTTATGCTACATATATAAAGTTAGAAGTGAAATAAAATTAAGCATTACTGACTTGATTACCTTGATTATCTTATCTTTTCTTCTAAATTAAGCTACATAAAGCACGTGTACTTAAAATTCGAACAAAAATGTAATGTTCTGGAATATAAACAATTCTGATTGCTCATATCATGCCAACTTACCTAAAAAGAACGGACATTTAAAAAAGGGGGGATCCACTCCATTTTATAAGTCTTTGATTACTTGTAATTTTCATTGCATACTGGCATTTTGTAACTTTGTGACTAGATTATTTTTTCTTGCTTTGACTCAATTATTTTCTAATGTTTGTCTGCAAGTCTAGACTACATGTGCATTTTTTCTTACATTTTCTGGACATGACTTGAATATTTTTTTTTTACATTTTGCGAGCCTTTCCAGATTATTTTCTTACAATTTTTTGCATGTATCCATGAAAGTTTATTGATCATTTTTACATTTCTCTTTAAATGTATTTATATAAAATAACTTCATTCTAGTAATAAGCAAGGATGGATGTTTTTAATCATTTTAATAAATTATTAATGATGATTCCTGACAAAGAAAGTATTTCCGTTTCTTTTCTGAAGTAATGAAGAATCAAAATCTTTATCATCCAGACCATCATTTGATTGATTGATTGATTGTTTATTGTTTAACGTCCCTCTCGAGAATTTTTCACTCATATGGAGACGCCACCACTTGCCGGTGGAGAGCTGCAAATCTTTTCCTATACTCGGCACTGAGGGCCATTGAGCAGGGAAGGATCTTTTTCGTGCCGGCACCTACTGCGACACGGGACCTCGGTTTATACGGTCTCATCCGAAGGACCGGTCTCCACGCCCCACAGTGGGATTCGAACCCGCGACGTAAGGAGTAACTCCTCACTTCGCGACTCTAGAGCAGACGCTCTAACCACTGCGCCAACGGGGGACGACCATCATTTGAATCGACAAAAAAGTATTCGAAACCATATGAGGACTTCCAGTTTAAGTCTTTACCAAATGCATAATTCCAGAAGTAACCAATCAAAGTGGACTGGTGGTTATTCTATTCTAAAACACAATGAACTTTTTTCACAGATCCATTTAATTTACGTATCAAATGTCGTAAACATATGGACATTTTTGTTACTACAAAGCTGTCAACAAATACCGGTACGCATTTTAAAGCAGATTGTTTTGTTTAATATGTATTTTTTCGTTACATATGCGTGCATATATAATGTCAAACTTTTTACCCAGCCATGCTTATATTTTGAGTACAATCAAGACCCCCCAAAATCAAAATAATTTCTTTTATTAAAAATAACACCTCTTGCCAAAGACTTAATATTAATTTATTTTCCAGCCTGAAAAACATGACATTTGCGCACCATCACTTCTAATAACACCACGAGGATCAAAATTAGGATGTGTTCGGACCATCACCACGTCATTTACTGCTGCTGAAATAATCACGAATCCAGTGGAAGAAATTACATCACCAGTTGATGCTGAATGAGACCTTCCCTTTACAACTCCATTTACAAGAAGTTCAAGGACAATATCACCATAATAGGTGAATGTAGTCCAAGTAAACGCATAGACTCCTTCAGACGGGACTCGAAATGTTCCACTAAACTTGTCATAAGCAGCGTGTGTGTCTACGAAAACATAATCATATCCAAGCTCATGAGCACGTCCAAGATTACCTGCATAGTGTGAAAAACAGGCGTGGAAGGCAACGGTTGTTGGGATACTTCTTTCTGCAATTCACAACCACCATCAGTTAGTTTTACTGTAATATGCCTACCTATAGCAAGTTTCCTAATTTTCAAACCAATAGCAAATTCATTAAAAAATAATAGAAATAGCATAAAATATACTTTCTGTAGCAGACATTATGCACGATTCTAATGTTATATGAAATACTGTCATTTACAATACATTTTATTATAAAGTCATAACTAGTGTAGTAATATGTACGTTTATACAACTATTTGAATTTTTGAAAACATGCATATCAAAAGAAATTATGTTATACGTATGACATTCAGATATTGATTTGATTTGAATCAATTCCCTTTTGATTCTTTAATAGATCGTTGATTCAAAATTATTTAAATGTTACTATCACTTTTACATGTAAAATACTAGTAGATGTAATATAGATAAAATTTGTAAATTGACTATCCACCTCCCCTCCTCCAAAAAAATCAAAAATCACTACATTTCAACATAAGTGGCATCCTAATGCCATCATGTACATACATTATATGAAACAGAACAATATTTCATAAGTCATCTATTTAAACAGACAACTTTTTTCATTCCTTCTTGTATCCCATGGTGTGTCTCCTGAAATCGTGGCATCTTGAAATTTTGTTTGCTTTCGATCGATTCCTTCTGGTCAAGAACCATTTTTTCCAAAGTTGCAATTCGAGAGTCAAGTTTGCTTTTTTCTAAATAAATTGTATGAACTATTTTGTTTTTTTTATCATATTTTATTCGTTGAAAACAAAACTGGAAAATATATTTTATTCTTCTCTGTTATGTTATCGTTCAATTATTAACCTTACTCAAAGAGGTATTCTAAACATATCTTCTTTTCAAAGCTGGGCAACTCAGTATTTATAATTTAATATATTGCTCAAACCAACATAAGTTTGATAAAACTTGCCAAAAATACCGTTTAGCTATGCTGGGGTATATACGTATATGCCAAAAATATAAAACTTTTTCTGCAGAGATTTTGTGTACATATTATCATGTATAATCAAATAATAATGAAAAAAAACATAATTTATAGCTTTTAAATAGATCAATGAACACCTACATTGTATTTAATTCATGTTCGGATTACTACCATGATATAAATTGTCGTACCATCTGTTAATTTGTTGATTATATTTAGCTGCTTGTTTTGATGCTTGACGATTTCTTTCAATTCCAAGATCTCCTTTCTCCAAGGTTCTTCTGTAAATACAACTCCTACCATACAGAAAACAAGAATGCAAATTAAGACGGCCATTTTTGTGTGAGATCCTTATCGAAATAGAAAATTTCTTTTCTCTTATCACGTTTGACAGAGGATCTTTCTGGGCCAGTTAATATTTTGGAATGTCGTCATGAAATACCAGTAAATGCAATATACTAGTATTTTGGTTCATTTCCTTTTTTACCAACAAAAAAAACCAAGTTGATTGTTTATTTATTGCATTCAAACATGAGGTCTGGCTTACATAAACTAAAATTCCAAAAAATGAGCTATGTATTGATCGGTAAACGGAATATATCATTGTCAAGTTTTTATATAAAAATAAAGTCCTAAAAGTACATGTATATATGAAATATATCAGTCAAAATACGATCCAATACATATTCCAGGAACACCAAGACAGGGTTCTCCATGAGCTGTTTTACTGTGTTGCTCCCGACACAGTAAAATTTTCTCCGACACAGTAGCGGTTCAAATTTTATGCGTGCGACACAGTTAAAAAATTTGCCAACACAGTAAGATCTGTGATGATTAGGAATCTAAACATACAAATTCTCTATAACTGAATTTTTAATCAAACAAATCTAACAGGTAGAGCAATTAATAAGCACTTAATTAGGGATTCGCCTCGCATAATCAATTATCTCCTTGACCCTCGCCGGAGTTTACGCATGAAGGAACAACGACAAATAATTTGTTTTTACACTTCTAGTAATAATTGGTATTTGCATTAAAAGTACATCATACTAATTTTTTAAAACTATTTTAATATGTTTTTCTATAGAGCCACGGCTCTAGAATTATGTTGGCACTTAAAGTTAAACATAGTATCGAAATCAATTGATGTAAATAAACTATTTATATTAGTTTACAAGAAACTCTCAAAAGTATTCCGAAGATTTTTATTGTAATTCGGCAAATCAATCAAGAAAACTGAAAAAAATCATGGCAAATTTACTTTCAAAAATAGTAAGTAGTTCTCAATATTTACGACCATACAATTTGTGTACCGAATTAGTGATTTTTTTTTTAAAAATGTGTGCGTGTATTCTTTTGTTATTAAAATGAATATTGATTCAATCGCGAATTTGATGGCGAAAATACCGCAAAATATTAATGCTTCGCGTAAACTCTGCAACACAGTAAACTTTTAAATCATGGAGAACCCTGCCAAGAGTGTTATATTTTGGTTTTTGCCAGAAACATGCATCTAAAACAAGTGCCTATTTTGTTCTTATGTCCTTTTTATTACTCTCTTAAATTTCATTAGATCGATTAAAGGAGAGAAGATGAAGAGATACTTAATAAGGGAATTAATGGAAAACATATGTTGGTCCTTTTTAATGCAAAATGAAATTTCACATCCTTTTTTTCTGAAGTACTTTTGTAAATATACTCTATATTGTATGGATATAAAATAATTAATAATTAATTGATGTTCTTTCATACATGTAATAGGCGTGTTTCATAGAAACTCACCAAACAGAATAAATCAATTACAAAGATAGGTTAGTTTTCATATTTTTTTCTATAATAAATCATTTAAATTTGAAAACAGCTTAGAATTTAGGTTGGATTTTATGTATCAGGTATTCTGAGAAACAAGATGAATAATCTTTATTTTTATTTAACTATTACTTCTGTACTTTATATGGAATTTATTTTGGGGCAAAAACAGTTGCAGAGTACATTTCAATTCCTTGGTTTCGTGAACAACTCAGAATTTACGTCATCATTCAACATGAAACTTACAAAGAGACAATGTGCCGCTGAGTGTGTAAGAAATGAGAATTGTTATTCGTTTGATTTTTGTCAAGAAAATGATTCTAAGACATGTCACACACACATAAAATACAGAACCAACGAGTCTACGTATGAAAATGGACTATGCAAACGTTTTAAGCTGGTGAGTAGATTTGCAAGTACATGTGCTTCTTTCAAGGGTCTATACAGCTGGGGAAATAAAAAGTTTACAAAATGATATCTTTATCCATACAAATTGAAAGTCTTTTACTTGATTTTTCAGCCCTTGGAAATATTGTAACTTTAAAAATTTCTCTCTTTTTGCAAGTAAATACATCCAACAGAGTTCGTTTGAGTTATCTGGATACTTGAAATTTCACAGTGTTCCAAAATCAACATTTTTTCAACATTTTTTACAATAATTCCTCAATCAAAACAAATTAGACAAAGTCTATGAATAACCACTTCTTCAATTAAAAAAACTTTTAATCTTATTAATTGATCGCCTACAAAATTTGTTTGTCTTGAACGTTAATCTTAAAAGAATTATTGAAGTTCTTATTGACAATATCTGTACGTATAAATTTGAGAACATTTGAAATCTTCCAAAATATGTCTCCTATTCCTATTTTGGCTTTGTTGTTGTTGTTATTATTATTAATTTTATTTTATTTTTATATTTCTTTGGTTTTATTTGCTCTTAAATTTTACAAATAAGATAAAATATTTTCATACAGTGTAATTTTCTTTATGAAATCCATTAGAAATCCACGACTTTCAAATCTCTATGCACATGCGAAACTTGTCAACCTTCGTTAGAATACACATTAGGAACAATATTGATGCATTTTCAATTCTCTAGGAACACCAAAATGTACATTGTTTTACTTCATATTTGGATTTTTTTTTAACATTAGACATTAATGCCAAGCTAACAACTAAACATTACAATTCTTGGATTTTTTTTCCGTTCTTTTATTGCAAGATGCCAATCTCCCAGCTAATTCAAAACACAAGAGCCTGTTCATAGTAAAATCAATCTAATTTACATGTATATCTTGTAAGGCTTTTGTACAAATAATTGAATATTACAAGGAAATCATTAATCTCGTTTTAAGTAACCATTTTGCTAATGCTATGACGAATGACCTTATTTCCAATTACAGCTGTATTAATGTAGGATGTTGGTTTACCTTTTTAGTGCAATTGTTTGGACATTGCTTTACGGAGTTGAAAACTTGACTTTGTTTATAATCGAATATAACACTCAGGCTTCTATGCGATCAGTCAAAGGGGATATTAGACCAAACTCTTATATTTCCAGGGGTCTGTTAGCTCTGCTCTTGATTTGTAAAAGTTAATGTAAGGTTTGAGGATTATTACTTTTCGTCATCATCACATTCCATAATGGATAATATTTCCAAAAGTCCTAGAAAAAAACGCTTTTATATGATTTTTTTAATAAATGCAGATTTGACATATATTTCAGTTAAATTTGTTTGAGCAAAAATAGAAGCATAGACAGAAAAATTCAAGATTTTTACTTCTTTTTTAACAGAGGCAGATTTGTAAGCCTGGTTTTACGAAGCCTTGTCAATGTCCTTCCAACTTTGGAGACGAACGCTGCAAATACAAATATGGTAGTAAAGATTCACTTGTATTTTTGAACCTAACTGTAATTACAAGAGGTTTTTAAAGCATACAAATACCTTGTTTTTCTTTAAGATTGTCAAGGACAGTTGGTGAGCCAAAATACAACTACTTACAGATTTTGGCGATTGTTTTCCACAAATGAATGGCGTGAACTTCTGTGTGAAATGACCGTAGATAATGGGGGATGGATTGTAAGTAAAGTACCTTTTCGAAAATATTGAAATCATATATGTTATTTCTTAAAAACCTTCCTATCAAGAAAATCATTTTTGAGTCTTCATTTTCATTATACTCTTTACCATAGAAATTATGTATGAAATTTCCTGAAAAGGATTTCTTTTTTGAGGTTCGATAAAAACATTGAAATATTTATACAAGAAAAACTTCCTATAAATTGCGTGTATTTTTTTTAATTAATAAATCATTGTTTTTCTTTTATTTACGAAATTTAACATTCTTCTTTACATAATAGCCTAGCAAAATAGTTTTCACTTTACGATCTATTTTCTCTTAAATACGTTTGCAATGAAATCAAGATTTAACTTTTTATCGAATTTTCATTGCTTATTGAATTAAATTAAAGGTTTTTCAACGACGGGTGGATGGCAGTACAGATTTTTACAGGAACTGGACCCAATATGAGACAGGATTTGGTGACCTCTCTGCTAGTTTCTATATGGGTAATGGTTTAGTGATAATTTTTATAGAATGACCGTAAAGTATGTTTTAGAATAAGCGAAGTTAATATCACATACACATTTAGATTAAAAAATTCTTTCATTTCTTTTATTATTTGATGAAATAATTTCTTATCCATTTCAAAAGATGTTTAAATTTAGCTCACATTACAAAATTTTTTTAAACGGCATTTCCCTATCCAAAATTGTTTAATGAAGCTAATTGCTTAAGGGTTTGTATTCATGGCTTAATAATCATATTTAAACATAAATTTGTAATAAAGACGCAAAGTATTGATCATGCTTATGATTCATACGGCATTTTCCTATCCAAAATTGTTTAATGAAGCTAATTGTTTAAGGGTCCTTCAATTCATTTTGTACAGTTATCATTTCCTTGACAAGTACAGTTAAAAAAAAAACATGAAGGTTTATTTGGTTAATTTTATGAAAGTGAATTTTGTTTTTGCTTTTGAAAAATAGCTTTTTATTGCATACAAATTTCAGGAAACAGTCAACTCCATGAAATTGTGAAAACAGGAGATTACGAACTTAGAATCGAATTAGAAGATCAAGCAAGTCAGAGGAGATATGCTGCGTATACTAACTTCTTTCTGGGAGGGCCCGAAACTTCCTATAAACTTAAGATTTCAGGATACCATGGAAACGCAGGTTGGTAATGATCGAAATTTAGATTTATTAAGAGCAATTCATTTACTTTGATACGGGACCTCGGTCTCATCCGAGAAAAAAAACAAGTTTCCAAGTCTGACAGTAGGATTCAAATCCACGACATAAAGATCAATTCCTTACTCCGCGACTAAGTTCGAATGTTTAACTTAGAGAGTCATCAAGACATACCATTACAAAAATACACCAACAGAGAATAGAGATATATTAATATAATGTGAAAAAATAAAGATTTACATTTCTTCGGTGAAATGATGTAATATATTTTTTTACATTCTAGATGACGGTCTCAACTATCACAATGATATGAAATTTTCTACCTTCGACAATGATAACGATATCCACGAATCAGGGAATTGTGCTGAGGACTTTCGAGCTGCTTGGTGGTACCTTAATTGCTACCGCAGCAACCTTAACGGAGTCTACGGTAGGCACGAGGGTGGAATGTATTGGGTTCCTTGGCAAGGATTTCATGAGTCTTTAAAATCAACTATGATGATGGTTAGAAAGAAGATTCCTTGATGTGAAACTGACCAAAAAGCTTTTTTGGAAAATTATTTTAAAAGAACAGAAATCCAGCTTCAGTGCATTGCTCTTTAATGTCCCTACGATATTAGCATGTTTACATGTATATGTATTTTTTTAAACTATCAGCTGCTGAACATATCAATGGAATAAAAAAGCAACCTTTCTTATTGACCCAAAGACCGTTTGAACTATATACATGTACCATGGAATTCAAAACACATTCATAATCATACATTCTATTAGATATAGAATCGACCTCAAAAGTCCATTAAATTAATCAAAATTGGAGCAGAACAAATCTAGCTCCAAAAACATCAGAGGAGTATCTGTTGCAAAGGGGGAATGAGCATGCCCTGTCGACCGGTCACACCCGCCGTGTTGTCTTTGTTATGATCGGAGAATAAGGGAAAAATCCGTCGATAATTCAGTGTGTATATAATGGCTATACAAATAGCATGAAAAACCATCACTCAACAATTGGCTTAATGATAAATTGTACTCCTTGACAAGGTTACAGTATCGAACATAAAACTTACAAAATGATGCGCTTTAAACCAGAAGGCTTATATTCTTGTTTCAGAAACTTGTTTATCAATAATTTACCTCGTTTAAGAAATTTTTCATACTTAGAGCATGCTTTTGCGTCTAGAATCAACTTGGAGATATAATGCAGGTGATAAAGGTATCTTCATAAGTAAGGGAAGTTGACGACTGAAAAGTTAAAGTCATTACGTTTATCATATAAAGCTCGGTTGATATATAACAATTAAGTTCTTTTTAGAGTAAAATATCTAAATATGAAACAGATGTGCCTCTATGGTATTTTTAATTCCAAGCTCACCGGGATATATCTATCGACATAGGAATGGAAATAACCATTGTTAATTGACAATATGTCGTCGATATATCGAAATATCGAGTTGAAGGTCACAGCAAGCGTTTTCTTCTTTTCACGTTTAAGATTTTGGACAAATTCTGCTTCATATGAATATAGAAATAGGTCTGCTAATAACGAGACCCAGTTTGTACCCAATAGGATTTCCAACAGATTGTTGGAAGCCCTGGTCTCTAAAAACAACATACAGTAGATATTGTCAATCAGAAATTCAAGAATCTTTTTGATGTAAACTTCAGAGTATTTGTGTGTACAACCAGAATTTTTTTAACAAAGTAATTTTGCAAATGAATAATAACAAGTTCCTTTTTATTGAAAAATTAACTATCAATGATATCTAAAAGCCTGGACGTTTTCGTGGGGAATGTTTTTTTCTTTCGAAAGCTAAAAAGCTGTGTTTTTATGCTGTTGATTTTGGTAAAATTTTGTGAAACCAAATTTACTAAAAGTTTCTTGAAATTTGTATTCACATCTGATTCACATCATTTATCAAATATGTTGGTGCACAGTACTACTGCAGTTCATTATTTTCCATCACAACTAAGCCTATGGTTGTGAAAAGATAAGCATTCAGCTTCGAAAAATGGCACACAACACGTAAGAGAGTCGTCGCTCTTACCCCATATAAATTGACATAATGGCATTAAATCATGAAAGAGGGAACAGAAAAAAAATGTATGTCGACGGTTTTTTTTTTATTTAAAACTGTTTGTTATATATTCAAAAACGTTACTGGTACGAATGAATGGACGAATACTTTGAACTTATACAAAGTAAGTCTAAAAAGATTAAAAATTTGGATGGATTACAATTTTTTTTTTTAAAACTTATGCACGTTAAAATATTATGCTTTCTCCTTTTTTCCCAACACACTGCACAAACCCTGTATTGCAAGAACATTTTACTCATCATGATCATGAATATCAAAAAACAGATATAATACTCTCAAGTCAGCCAACTGAGGTTTTACTGTGTGAAAACTACAATAGAAAAACTCCTTAATTTAATAATTTAAGTACACTGAAGGAAATACCTGGTTAATTTAACTAGTGTGCCTAGTAAAGTGTTCTTCGTGATTAGGAATCATTCTGTTTACTATCTAATTTTGTTGAATTTTATTTATTAAGTGAAAACATTGCTTTATACACTGTAACAGTAAATACAAATGATTCTTTTTCCTATGATGAAAAATTAAGATTAAAGTTTTATATTTTCACATCTTGGAAGTATTGCGCAATGGATCAAAGGCTTAGGATTCAATCTTAAACTCCCCTTAAACTACATAAATTGTTTATATGTCCACTTTTAGGATTTTCAAAAATATTTATGTTCAAACTGTTTAAAAATGTGCAAACATGGGAACTATGTGCATAAAATAAGCTATTTCTAAAATCTCATATTTTCTTGTCTTCTCTTAGGTGTACATCCATGTTTACTGCACTCCATTGCTACAGTTATAATTGAAATGACGGTGACACAGCATTCTTTTAGGTGCAATTTTAATTTGGCATTGAGTGTTCGATGTATAGTAAGTTAATGCTCTTCTCATTGAAACGATTCTATCTAAATCAATCATTGGTGCCACTAATCGAGACCCTATCACAACTCACAGTTCTATGATTATAGTTTTGAAGCCGACTGCCTCCCAGAAACTTCAGAAAGGGTTTCTTAAGGTTAAATAGATTCTAGAATTGACATATTAACCTTTAAGTATAAAATAAAAGAAGAATAAAATTCCTCTGAACCAGTTAAAAGATTCACCGATAAAACAAGTTAATGATTGGGATAAAAATGAAAGAATGCAGTGTTCAAACTAGGATTTTTTAAAGAGTATGCATGCACCATAGGCAAGGATCAGTAAATGGGCTTGAACATTTCTTATTTATTCATACCCACAATAAAGTATTCATTTTGGTCTTTATAAACTCCAAAGAAAGCTTTGCAATGTAGAAGATTTACTATATGACATCTCTGCTCTGAATAATTTGCCTATTCTGTGTGTTTTAATGACATCAACAATGAATACCTGGAATGTTAATAAGTAATGTTCTCTGTTTTAAAAAGATAATGAAAATAAAATAATGTTTTCCATATAATTTTTATGTCAAGTGTTGATGAAAATATTAGACTATTAAAGGTTTCCTAACAGTTGTGGAGCAACCCTTGTAGTACAATGTAGCTATGGATACAATAAACAATTGGGTTTTTTTTCATATGAAATTTGTTGATATGGCTTTTTTTCAGTCTGAAAAATTAGAAGCAGACTTGTGCTACTACTTTCCTTCCATTTTCCTGGTTAATATGGGGGAGTCATGTTTCTTTTCTTTTATTTCTGAGCTACTCATATGAAACTGGATTATCCTTTCTATATCCTTTCCTTATAGGTCTACATCATATTCGCACCAAACTTAACTCTGTACCTTTGAAACTTTTAAATAGTCTTCTTGAAAAGGCCAAAGAAAGTCCAATTTTTGATTCCTCGACACCAGAATATAGACTCGGATCTGTGATTTTGGATATTGCATATCATAGGCTTTTTAAACCCGCACGTTTTGCGGAAGAAAATGCAGCTAAAACAATCCGTCTTTTCCTTAAACTTCAATATGCCAATAAAGGAATTGATGCGGTTAATATAAGTAATATTCTTAATCACAAAAAGGTCCAGTCTTGTATTCCACCATATTTCAAGTTAAAGACTACACCTTGTATTCCTACAAATACATATCGACCATTGCTTCCAAACTTTTCAATTACATAAAAACTTTACATGGCCTAGATACAGAGCATCTGAAACAAAATCCCCCATCGTGTTCATGTTCTTCTTCACCCTATAACTATAGTCCTCCTGGACACGTTATTACAGGTGACGTAAATGTAGTTAATAATGAGGACCTTAGATCACTTATTTTAAAAGGTCTTAAATATAGGGAACCCCGATTCTTCAACTGGTCTCAGAATTTCATTAATACATGTTTTATGGATTCTGTTGAAAATTACGCCAGACGATGGGTCAGATATGAAAAAGAAGACGTTGATACCTTCTCAGAATGGATTAAATGTATCATTTACTTACCTGGTCATTGGTCATTTGCAAAACTATTTTGTTAAAAAAGGTTCTGATTGCACACACAATTACTCTGAAGTTGACATCAAGAAGATGCTTGTGTTTCTGATTGAAAATATCTGTGTGATTTTTGGAGACCAGGTCTTCCAACAATCTATTGGAATTCCCATGGGAACCAATTGCGGTCCGTTATTAGCAGACCTATTTTTGTATTCATATGAAGCAGAATTTATGCAAAATCTTATGCGTGAAAAGAAGAAAACACTTGCTGTAGCCTTCAACTCGACCTTCAGATATATCGACGACGTATTTTCAATTAACAATGGTAATTTCCATTCCTACGTCGATACGATATATCCAGGAGAGCTTGAGATAAAAGATTCCCCAAAGTCTGACACATCTCTTTCATACTTGGAAATTTTACTTGAAAAGACGATAATGGTAACCTAACAACCAAGTTACATGATAAACGTGACGACTTTAACTTTTCTATCGTCAACTTCCCTTACTTATGCAGCAATATACCTTCATCACCTGCATACGGAGTGTATATATCTCAGTTGATTCGATACGCAAGAGCATGCTCTACGTATGAACAATTTCTAAAACGAGGTAAATTATTGACAAGCAAGTTGATGAAACAAGAATATCAGTAGTCTCGTTTAAAGTCATCATTTCGTAAGTTCTATGGTCGATACAATGACTTTGTCAGCAAAATTATTAATACAATTTATCATTGAGTCAAATGCTGACTGACGTTTTTCATACCAATTGTTAGTCCATTATTTATACCCTGAATTGATACACTGATTTTTCCGTTATTTCACGATCATGACAATGAGCACACGGCAGGTGTGACCGGTCAGCAAGTGATGCTCACTCCTCCATGGCACCTGACCCCACCTCTGATGTTCGGAGGTCCGTGTTTGCTCTGCTCCTATTGTGTATTGTTTTATGGACTTTGATATTGATTACTGTTCGTTATTTCCATATCCTCCTTCTTTAAATCACCTCAACACATCTTGAGTTGTCGAACTTTTCTTGTTTAAGAATTTAAATGGT